TCATTAGAGGGAAATTGGGTGTCTCACCATTAAGGATTAAATGAACTTTAAACCCATCCCTATAACAGACTTGTGCAATAAGTCTCGAGCCAAACTTTTGGTCAAGTGGTCCGCCAAGTTATGTTGCGAGCTTACAAATTCCACCGAAATTACACCATTCATGATTAATTCCCTAATCATACTATGTCTAACATCCAAGCGTCTAGACTTTCCATTATAAACATGACTATATGCCTTAGCCAAAGTGGCAACACTAGGGCTGATTGGTCTCTAAAACGATCTTTATCCAAATATAAATTGGAGAATAAATTCTGGAAGTAAAAGGCTCGTTTAAAGTGGTTAAAGGAAGGAGACTCTAATACTCATTTTTTCCACTCTTTTGTTAAAGCCAGACACAGGAAACAACAAATTACTGCTATTCACAATTCAGATGGAATACTTGTTACATCATTACCTGATATTGGGGATGCAGCCGTTCATTACTTCTCCAAACTGTACACTCAAGAAGAGGTTTCTGATCCTGAAGATATCCTGCAATTTATACCAAAGTTAGTTGACGATGTGGATAATCAAATGTTAGGCACTCTACCTAATACAGAAGAAGTTAAACAGTTTGTTTGGGAACTAAATCAGAATGGGGCTACGGGTCCTGATGGCTTCAATGGAAAGTTTTTTAAAAAATGCTGGAATATAGTGGGAGAAGATGTGGTCAGGGCTGTACAAGATTTTTTTTCTGGGTATTCCTATTCCTAAAGGTCTTTCCAGCTCTTTGGTGGTTTTAATACCAAAAAAAGACAACCCTGACTCTTTTGCAGATTATAGACCTATTTGCCTTTCTAATTTTGTTAACAAGGTCTGCAACAAGGTTCTTACCAATAGGTTGTCTATTATTATGCCGAAATTGATATCTCACGAACAAGCGGGGTTTATGAAAGGGAAGGATATTAATGAGCAAATTCTTATAGCCCAGGAGACGATTCATTCTATTGACAAGAAAGTTAGGGGATCGAATCTTGTGATTAAGCTTGATATGGTCAAAGCTTTTAATCGTTTATCATGGAGTTTTTTAGCCAAAATTCTTGATAGATTCGGGTTTGCAAAACAGATTACTCGTCTCATTATGAACAATTTGCAAGCCACCTATCTTTCCATTCTTATTAATGGTTCCCCTCAAGGTTTTTTTAAACCCACTCGAGGTGTGAAACAAGGAGACCCTTTATCACCATACTTATTCATCTTAGCTTCTGAAGTTTTTTCAAGGGGGTTAAATTGGCACATAGAGAGAGGTTTGATTAAACCCTACTGGCTGGGGCGATATGGATTCCCTATATCTCATCTGGGTTATGCTGATGATTTACTCATCTTTATTAATGGGGATTCCAGATCAATTAAACAATTTCACAAATTTCTTACTCTTTATCAAGATGCTTTTGGACAGGCTGTGAATTTTCAGAAAAGTTCCTTTGTGTGTGGTAAGCAAGCTAACTTTAGGAGTCAGATTATTAAAAGCTTGTTGGGTATGCAGAAAACTTCATTGCCTATAAAATATTTGGGAGTCAAATTACACAAGGGGGTTGATAGAGATCAATATTGTAACCATATTATCAAACAATTTGACTCTAAATTAACCCCTAGAAGCAGAAAAATCTTTCCCAGAGTGGTAGACTTATCTTGATTCGCCATGTTTTGAGCTCCATCCCTATGCATACGCTTGCTGCAGATAGACTGCCAAAGAAAATTGTTAATATTTTGGAGAAGAAAATGGCAAACTTTTTCTGGGGGTGTAATAACAACAAACACAAATATCACTGGATTGCTTGGTCCAAATTATGTTGTCCTGCAGAGGAATGGGGCCTGGATATTCGTGCTTTGGCTGATATTGAAAAAAGTTTCTCTGTTAAACTTTGGTGGAAATGGCAAACCTCTTCTAGTCTTTGGTCTGAATTTATAAGAGCTAGATATCCTAAGGGAAGCTCAATGACTCCTAAAATAACAGACTCACCAATTTGGAGAAGAATCTGTTCTATCCACGAAACGGCAGCCTCCCAATGTGATTTTTCTAATCATAAAGTTACCTGGAACAACACAAATGATGGTCAATTCTCTTTCAAGTCTGCATATAATGCAATAAGACAGAGTTTTGGACAAACATTTTCATTCAAGCAAATTTGGCATTCTACTCAACCGCTTAAGCTTCAAATTTTCCAATGGAAACTTTTTAAACAGATTCTGCCTATTACAGATAATCTCTCTCGTTTTAACATTACTTTGCAACCTTCCATATGTCCTATTTGTAGAAAGCATGGGGATTCTACTGATCACATCTTTATTAAGTGTTCTTTCGCTAGAGATATTTGGGATTATTTTTCCCGAATATTGACTATATCTATGCATTCCAATCAGAATTCCATTCGACAAGTATTTTTATCATGGTGGCTGGAGGCTGGTAGCAGAACTTTGATAGATATATTCAGACATAACATGCCAGGAATTATCTCCTGGCATATATGGAAGGTGTATACTAATCTGGTTTGGGGTTCTCTAGCTACTGTACCTTCGGCCGAATCTACTATTTGGCAAATAAATTTGTTCACCCAAAATTGGGTACTCAGCCTCTCTCATTCGAAGCTTATCACTGTAGACCAAACTCTGGTTGAGGAAATGATGGTTCCTAGGGGTTTCCAACTACCACACAAGATTCTCAAACCGATTCTATGGAAGAGGCCTAAGGTTGGATTAAAACTGAATATTGACGCTGCTTACTTACCTACTGGTGCGTCGGGCGGAGCCATACTCAAAGACGCTAATGGCAGGTTCGTGAGAGCAATTTTCTTTCCCATCTGTGCTGAATCAAGCTTCGAAGCGGAGCTGTTGTCTTTAATAGTTGCGACACGGTGGGCGATTGATGAAGGTCACGAGAATTTTCAGGTGGAATATGATGCGAGCGAGCTGACCGATTACATTTCAGGTAAGAAAAGGGGAAGATGGTCAGACGATATTGTTGGATTCAGGCATTTGGTAATTAGGAAGGGGATTTCATTCGGACATATCTACCGAGAAGGGATCTGGGCTGCCCACTTTCTTGCGGATTATCATGTGGCCCATTTCATGGTCTTTAGGGATGAATCTGCCTTGCCAATTCAAACTCAAATTGCTCATAATTTAGATTTCTTTAATATTCCTTCTATTAGACGTTGTATTTAAAGATTGGGTCAGGTATAGCCCCCCAATATTTCTCATTTATTTTGTTTCGTTCACTTGTATCTTGAGGAGGTATGCCTTCTCATTAGAGGTTTTAGTCTAGTCCCTCTCTCCTATTTTGTACCCTTTTATTTATTTAATAAAACACGGTAAATGTTCCCCGACATTTATCCCGCTGATTTTGGTGGTTTGCCTTCCGAGTTAAAAAAAAACCAAAGTGGCAGCACTATCACAATGGATAGAAATAGGTGCAATCGGCTTCCTCCACAATGGAATCTCAAAAATTAAATTTCTTAACCATTCCGTCTCTTTTCCGGCGGTAGCCAACGCAACAAACTCAGATTCCATTGTTGAGCTTGTGATACAAGTTTGCTTCTTGGATGCCCAAGAAATGACACCCCCCCCCCCCAAGCAAAAATACCTAACCACTTGTAGAAGAATGATCCTCTACATTGGATATCCAACTTGCATCCGAATACCCCTCTAAAACCGAAGGATACTCAAAATAACACAAACCATAATCTATGGTTCCCTTGAAATACTTGAACACTCTCTTCATTGTTTTCCAATGTTGAGTACTAGGATTACTAGTAAACCGGCTCAACCTACCCACAGCATAAGCAATATCCGGCCGAGTGCTTGTCATGGCATACATCAAACTACCAATGACTTGAGAGTACTCAAGTTGTGATACCGCCTTTCCTTTATTAGGCATCAACCTCACACTAGGATCCATGGGAGTACCAATGGGTGAACAATCACTATAATTAAACCTTTTGAAAATGTTCTCAACATAGTGAGCTTGTGTCAAAGCAATCCCTTTGTTTACTCGTTTAATCCTTATACCAAGGATCACATCCGCCTCCCCCATGTCCTTCATGGAAAACCTTGATGATAACAACCTTTTGGTTTCATCAACCTGATTTTGATCCGTTCCAAAAATCAGCATGTCATCAACATAGAGACATATGATCACACCCGCCCCGAATGCATCAAACCGGCTATAGACACATTTGTCCGATTGATTTAAACTAAACCCATTGGACAAAACAACTTCATCAAACTTTTGATGCCATTGTTTGGGTGCTTGTTTCAGCCCATACAATGATTTAACAAGTTTACATACCTTATGCTCATTTCCCGGCATAACAAAACCTTCCGGTTGTTTCATGTAAACTTCCTCATCAAGATCACCATTTTAAAATGTCATCTTAACATCCATCTGATGTATAATCAGATTGTGTATAGCCGCCAAAGCAATTAACAACCTAATGGTTGTAATTCGAGCAACCGGCGCATACGTGTCAAAATAGTCAATTCCGGGTTTTTGTCTAAAACCTTGAATGACTAACCGAGTCTTGAACCTATCAACAGTTCCATCCACTTTCATCTTCTTTTTGAAGATCCATTTGCAACCTAAGGGTTTAGAACCCGGTGGCAAATCCGACAACACCCAAGTGTTGTTCTCCATAATTGGTGACATTCCGTCATCAATTGCCTCCTTCCAAAAGGCAACATCTCGAGACTCCATTGCCTCTTTAAAGGTCTTTGGATCATCCTCAACTTGGTAATATTGTACCCCTACTTCATCCCTTGAACCTTCCACTAAATACAAGTGAAAATTGGGATCAAAGTCTTTCACGATGCGACCTCGTTTGTTGGATTCTCGTGGGCCGGTTACAGGCAATAGCCACTGGAATGGACAAATGTCCGGCCACAGGCAATAGCCACTGGAATGGAAAAATGTAGTATTGGAATTGTCTATAAACGTGACATGAAATGTCTGGTTACAAACAATAGCCACTGAAATGTCTGGTCATCAAGCTTTTGATATCGATATCTTTCTTAAATTAATTTACACTATTTATAGTCTCAGTGCTCATAAAAACAAGTGCCAACAGAAGTGCCTTAAACTAACTAGTTTTGCAAGAGATATGCCACACTATGAAAAACCAACACTATGAAAACAACATTAAGTGTGTACAATTTCCATACTTTAAATTTTGTATGGCGAAAAGACAACTAAAAAGTGAAAAGTATCACAAAGTAAACACTAACAAAAAACTACTAGTAATACACAAGTCACTATCAAAATAGTCTTTATTGCTTCATGTCTTCGTCCCTATTCCACCAGCTTTCTTAATGATTCATCAAGCTTCTAAATCAATTGGCTTCTTCACTCGTCAACATCATTTGTATGGTACTAGACTCCTGCATTACACACCAAGATAAATAATCAATAAGCAATCCAATCAACTTAATACATTCCTAACTCAATGAATAAACAAAAATGGAATGCTCTGTTTTTCAATAGTTAAACTCTTGTTGTAATTTATTACATGTAAACCTATACAAATGAGTAGCACTGGACCAGAACATCTAAATTAACCTGAATGCATACACGATAATGTCATAAAGGTTTAACCACTGCACTTTTTGAATAAAGGCTTCAATAGAAATTGTGCAAAGAATGAACAAACTACCTTTTATGCAAGTTTTACTGGCTGCAAAACATCTTACTGGATCAAGCAAGGTACTTTAAAAGCTAAGAAGAAAAGTCAGTGAGCATTAAGCAAGCTCATAATATTACTAACATCAAACAAATACTTTAATTTTGAGCTTCATGTGTTCAAAATTAAGATTAAGGACAATACAAGAGTATGCATGAAAATTTACTAACATAGCATAAACGAAACTCAATACACATCCAAGGAAAAATGTAAATAAAAGAAAATGAAATTAATACCTTGACTGTCTCCCACATGTGTTCCTTTAAAGACAACCAAAACTCCTAAAGAAGAAGCATATAATCGTAAAAAAGTTGCTCTTAACTCAAGCATATAAATTAATATGCAATTTCCTTTCATATATGATGCAAAAAGTATAAACATCTTCATATCTAACAGAAAATAAATAATAGAATTCGATTACTTAATCCGGATTAAACAATAGAGGGAAAATGTGAATATTATACACAACATTTCATCACAACATCTTATCAAACACATTATGAACAAAAAGAATAATATTCTCAAATAATATAGTGAAACAAAATTTTCAAACAAATAACATTAGATATCAATCAAACATAAAATTGAAAAGAACAAAAAATCATAGTTAAAACCCTAAACCACAATAATGAAAAATGGGGAAAATTATTGTCTAATGAGTTAGGGTTAAGGAGGTTGAATTGAAGGAAGATGAAGGGGAAATGAATACCAGCAGTGGCAATTAACCAGGCCGGAAATCGATCCTCCATGTCGGACTCGCTCGCGGGTGGTCGGCTCTGTAACTTCCAGATCGCTGCGATGACTCTAGGCGGCGATGGCTTCCAGGTCTGCAGCTCTCCCGATTCAATCATGAAAAACAACCTGCAGCTCTCCTGATTCAAACATGAGAAACAACGTAGACAAATTAAATGGCTTGTGATTGTTAAATGGGGAGAAGGATTGCAATGAAGAAATGAAGAAGAAAGAAAGGAGTAAGTGCTACGGGAGAAAGGAGAAATGGCGCAAAGAAGAGAGAGGAGAATGAGAGAAAGGGGGAGAGGAAAAGGGTAAAAAAAAATTAAGGAAAAATTGATGGTAATAATCTCAACTATTGTCGATCCGCTCAAAATAATTTCAACTATCAATAATTTTAGAATAATCCTAACTTTAGGGACCTTCCGCCAATAATGGTCCCTAATTCCCTATGAATAAATTCTTGTAGTTTCTAAAGTGTATAGGAAGAGATATAACAAGTAATTCCTATGAATAATTCCAACTTTTAATTTGTAAACTTAATTTCTAATTTAAAATTCACTTGTTATAGGAGGTAATATCTAGTTATGGATCATTATTGGTGGACGCTCCATATAGTTGGGATTATACAAAAATAATTAATAATTGGGATTATTGTTAGCGGACCAACAATAGTTGGGATTATTATTTTTAATTTTTCCAAAAATTAAAATGGTAAAAACTAAAACCATTTATATAGTGTGTACAATATGTGTATACTTTATGTACACTAAGCATTTTTGAAAATAAAAAAACTCTACTCTAAACAAGGCCGGCCCACATCAGTGGCACCCAGCCCAATGGCACAGGACCCCAAAATATAAAGTAGCCTGTCAGCCCAGGTCCAAAAAATAGAAGAGGCTGGAGTATCAAACTGAAGATCGATAAGCTCTTGCTCGGCTGCTCTGCACGACTTCAAAACACCCAATGGGCAAACGACTGAGCCAGCGACAAAGCCACAACGGGACGACGTCGCCGCCGCGACAAGCCGCCGCCTCGCCTCACCTCCAGGCTCTAGTCTGATGAATAGTTCCCGCCGCTCCTGCCTCCACGCTCAGCCTCTAACCTCGAACGGCTCGCAGCCTCCAACCTCGCAAGGCTCGCAGCCTCCAGCCTCGCACAACGCGTAGCCTCCAGCCTCCAGGTTTTCTGAATTCTGTCATTTCTCTTTTTAATTACAGATTAGGTTGTTATTTGTCTTATGAAGTTTTTTAAAATATTTTGTGTTATGAAGCTATTAACCAATTAAACTAATTGTTAGTTTTAAATTTTTATTTAACAAACTGACATAACCGTATAAGAGGATGTTTGGATCTGATTCTTAAAACTTACATCGTATAAGTTGGAATGTTTGGATGAAAGTGCAGAAACAGAATGAAACTAATAGAATCCGTTTTTTAGAAGCTTCTGAAAACTTAGTTTTATTCTGCTTCTTCTTTAAAAAAGAAGAAGACATAATCAATTCCAAACACCCCTGAGTGTGATATTCTGACTTTTCTCTTTTTAATTACAAATTAGGTTTGTTGTTTATTTAATGAAGTTCCTATCTAATTATCCCATATAAGGTTCTCACTTTTTTCCCTGATCGTCCTATATAAAAGTTTCTTTTCTTTTTTTAAAAAAATAATTATTAAATATTAAAAGTAATATTAATAGATGTCAAAATATATTATATATTTATCAAAATTATTTCTAAAATATTCTCGAATTACCTTATTCAATTATTCTCTAAATAATCATGCTATTTTTCCATGGAAACCTTTAAGTAGCATTTAATAAAAACTAATTAAACTAAATGTTGATTGTATATTTCTATTTAACAAATTGGCGTAACCGTATAAGTATGTTATTACATTGTTGGGTTATTTTGTAATTTATAGTTCTTAACTAAAATTTTAAATTAACTTTTAACTTAAAATTTGTAAACATGTACGGGATTAGTGGAGGATTTCAATAATTTATTATCACTATTATCAACTTTATTTATGTTCTATTTCTACGTCTGTTGGAATGAGAAGCCCAATTTTTTTTGTTGCACAGGGCCCTCATTTTATCTGGTCTGGTCGTGACTCTAAACAAAGCCTCAGCCATTTCTCCCCCAGGTGTGGCATCTCCGTGATTCACAATCCATGATCCATTGTCAGAAACTAAGAGTGTCATCTGCTGTGATCAAATGTCTTTCTTATTTCTCCGGGTTAACCCACATATATCAGGGAACTAGGTTTTATAGAACAAAACAGAATGCTCTAATTCCGGGCAAAACTCTCCTAGCCATTAGGCAAGAGGCCCAGTCTGCTCTGACAGAGTATCTGCATACCACCAGAAGCTTGCCGTTCACTGATGCCGAGCATATAAGCAAAAACTCACCCCATTTTCTTGAAACCTTGTTGAACAGGGTGAATCTTGAAAATGATGTGGCACGATCTGTTGTACGTTTCCTACGGTACAATCCCATCAATGAATTTGAACCCTTCTTTGAGAGTTTGGGTTTGAGCCCTTCTGAGTTCTTGCGGTTTCTGCCTCCAAATATTATGTTCTTGAACGATGACACATCCTTGATGGAGAACTATCATGCTTTGTGTAACTATGGTGTTCAAAGAAATAAGATAGGAATTATTTACAAGAAAGCCCCAGAGGTATTCCAGTATGGGTCCGGTTTTTTGAAATCAAAGCTCCGATCTTTCGAAGAGTTTGGCTTGAATCAGACCACAGTTGCTAAATTTGTGTGTTTGAGTCCCCACCTTCTGAAAGAAAATGTACATAGAGACTTCTTTATGGTTCTTGATAAGTTAAAGAGTGTTGGAATTGAGTCAGGGGTTGATTATGAATGGATTAAAGGAAAATTATCAATTGCTGAATCTTACAACTGGAGGCGAGTGTGTGAAGTGATGTTTTTGTTCAATAATTTGAGTTTCAGTGAAGAACAATTAAGAAATCTTGTATGCCGCAATCCAGAGCTTTTGTTTGACACCTCTGGACATAGTACATTTTCACTAATTGGATCGATGTTGAAATTTGGATTAGCACGGGATGATTTAAAGAACATGTTTCTCAACCTTCCCAACATCAAAGTTGCAAAGTTTGTTAGGAATTTGCGAAACAGTTATGTTTTCTTGGTTGGGATCGAAATGATTAACCATGATATTGGCAACTTGTTTCGTACACACAATGTACTCCTGGGTTCATGTTCTTTGAAAAAAGTAGTTACCTTGCTTTCAAGCTTGAAAACCGGGAAGAAGAAGATTTGTAAAATGATCTTGGCGGATCCTAATATTCTGAAGGAATGGGTATTTGGGTTGAAGGTCGGCCCAGTTTCCTCAACTGAGGAGGCTGAAGAGGATTTAAAATCAAAAACCATGAAGACGAGTTTTTTGTTGAGTTTAGGGTTCATTGAGAACTCAAGTGAAATGGAAAAAGCTCTCAAAGCGTTCCGTGGCAGAGGGTTGGAGCTTCAGGAGAGATATGATTGTTTAGTCAATGCCGGTCTAAAGCCAAAGGATGTGGCGAAGATGGTGAAAGTTTCTCCTCACATCCTCAACCAAAGTAAAGAGCACATTGAAGCAAAGATTGAATTTTTAAAGAGCACATTGGGAATTCCCGTGTCGTGTTTGGTTTCTTTTCCAAATTACATCTCTTACACATGTGAGAGAAGCACACTTCGGCTTTCAATGTACAAATGGTTGAAAGATCAAGGGCGGGTGAGGCGCAAATTGGCATTGAGCACTCTTATAGCTTCCTCAGAGAAAATATTCATGAAGACTTATGTGAATCCTCATCCTGGTGGCCCTTGTATGTGGGAAAAAATTAAGAGAGAAGTTTATCCCAACTGATTGGATTGTGTTTATCGGTAGAGTCTAACTGTGTGTCTGCCTGGCTACATGCTAGATTGATGTATGATACATGATAATCTGGAACTGCAGGACATCATAATCCCAGGTTTGAAGATCATTTTAGTATTTCTATATCTTGATTCCCAAGTTCCACGGGGGTCGGGGAATTGGAATTGTGAAATGTAAACAACTGTTTTACTATAGTTTCCTAAAGGTTTCCAAATGAATTATGAGACACCAAAATGCTACACTCTAGGAGCATGTGTGATCCTGGGGATTTTGGAGGGAGTGGAAAAGAAGGATTCATTGTTATTTTACCAATGTATCTAATATTTGTTGGTTTTGGACTAGAAATAACTGTATGGTTAGTTAGATCAGGTATATCTATATGGTTTTTTATCTTTATTTTAACTGTCTAAATGTAGAAATTATTTAAAAAATAAATATCTTCACTTCCCTTCGGATTCCTTCATGCAAACAAGCCCTGAGTTTGTGGGAATCATAGCTTGATTTTTTTCTGTAGTGCAGTCTTACCTTATTTTCGTTCCTAGATTTTCACAATAAAACAGTGTTTGTTTCTTCACCTAATACTCTAATAGCAATGCTCAATGCCAATGCATTTCACATATTTGTAGCTATTAATTTTATGGTCAAAAGCTTATACAATAACAAATAACAATGCTAGAAAGTCATGCCAAGCTAACAGCTACACATAATTTGCCTATTAAAAGGGTCTTTGTATTCTGATGTAGAAACGAATAAATTTGAATATCAAATAACTGGTTATGCAATCAGGCATTCCTCTCTTTTATGGATATCATATTCCTTTATGACAAGGTGTTTATTCAATTGTTGAAATGTGCTCTAACTTTATTTGTCTTATATTTGAATTCGGATTCGAGAAGATACTAAGAGCTGCCTCAAACTCATTGTAAAACAAGGCCACAAGCCCACAAAATACCAAAAGCCATTACAGTACATGAAATCAAAATTGGGCTGAATACTCATAAAATGGTGTGAATTGTTATGCTCTAATTGTGGTTGATTCATTTTGTATGAGTGTTTGCTACTACTCTAGGCTTACGTTGGTCACATGAATGTTTTTAAATGTCATAACATTTAAATTTTGAATCAGAATTAAAAAAAAAACGTTATAGAAAGATTAGTCACATTCACGGAAAAATGAAAACTAGTTACTACCTCCGTCCTGGAATTATCTCCTTATTTGACTAGGCACGGATTTTAAGATAATGAGAAATGTGTGGTGGAGAGTTGTGCAGAGGAAAAAGAAATATGTAAGAATGTGTAAGAATTGTTGTGTACCACAAATTCTTTCCCAAAAAGGGAAAGAAGAGATAAATTTGGGACGGACCGAAAAGGAAATTATGAAGATAATTCCGGGACGGAGGAAGTATATTTTTGTTTTCCAAAAGTGTGGACTTTTTCAATTTTTCTTATTTCATACCATAATAAATACGTACGGAGTAGTATTCAATAATATAACAAAAATGATGTTGAGCAACCTACTAACCTCAAATCTGGTCGTTCAGAACTTCAGATCATCTAATCAAGCAATCTAATAAAAGCTTATTTGACAACTGATGAGGTATGAATTAATTAAGAGTACATTATGGTTGGTTGACAAATTGACATACAATGTTATTATTTAAAAAAACAACTTATTATACAAATATAAAAAGGACACCTCTAACGTTTTCTGTAACAAATTTGATTCTTTGTCTTAATAAAATATAGAAACATATAAATAAAATGAGTATCCTTTTAATACATTTTTATACTATTCCGTGTAACGGCCGGTATTTCGCGGACCGCCCCCAGGTCTCCCAAGGTTTTTTGAGCAGCATTTCCCAGTGGTGGACTTGGTTGCGCAGTCTGAGAGTTTTCTTCTAGTTTTTTAGCTTTCTTCCGGCGGTGGTCTTCACTCTTCATCAACCGGACAAGCAGTTTTTTGGTAACGATGAATGGCAAGGTTACTACGCAGCGGACTTAGGGTTTAGGTTTGTGCAGCGGTCTTCGAGGATCGTGACCGACGGGTGAGGAAGAGAGTCTAGGAGGGATGAAGGGCGAAGGCTATGGTGATGTGCAAATCTTGGATGACGGGTTCCAGACAAACTCAACAGGCGGTAGTGCGAAGGCAAGCTTTAATTTTATTGGGGCATGGAAGAAATCGAACGAAGGCTTTGGACTAGAACGCGCCTATGATGAGGATGAGGTGTCGTTGCAACTAGAAGAGACAATATGTGCGATCCCCCCCCTCCTGAACCACCACCATGGATTCCAATTCCTAAGGGACTCTAGAAGACAAACAATAGTGTTTATTTCTTTCTTTTCAATTTTATTAAGTACTATGTTTTTATGTTCATCATTGACTAGTTTGGTCGTTAAAAGTTTCAAATCTCTCACATATTCAGCGATTAGTCTCACTCATTATTGAGTGGTGTATTCTGTATCTGTTCAGGGAGTGAGGGGGGTTGGCTATACTGAGTCTACATGGGAGACTTGATTTATTGTGGTCGTTGGGATGTTTGGTTCTATGATTTTAATATAAGCTCTTTCCATTAAAAAAATAACAGTTTCTGCATGAAGAAGGATTTTAAAAGTATAACAGGTGTGTATTAGATCCTCTAGAGGTTCTTACCTTTGATGATGGCAATACTATCCTTCATTGGTTTCACTTATTCATTGATACCACCACCTACTAGAGGCCTAATTTCTAGAGAGCAATTTTGTTTACTCTCATTTCAGAATTTAGATGGTGATGTTCACTCTGACGCCTATGATGTTGTCATGTGGCATGTCAGTATTGCTATCATTAGAAAGATAATAAAAAATTAAAAAAACTAACTTTTTTTTAATAAAATTGGATGATAAATAAAAAATTTATGACAATTGCAAAACTAAAAAGTATTGACTTGCCACATGACAACATTATTGGGGTAGGGTGAACATCACCCACGGCCCACCTCAATGAAGGTGAACATAATCGCTCTCTTATTTCTAGGGTATGAGAGGGGTGGTTTGTTCCAGCCTATTTTTTATTTGAATAACATCGGTATTCTCGTGTACTAAATTATGTATAAAAATTTAGTAAACAAAACTTAATGTCGACTCGTCTCAACTTTTAGTTTTTACTCTTCCAATATACGTAGAATCATTTAAATCTCTCAGCTAAATACCTAGAATTTTATGACTGATGTTTATATGACTATGATGGATAGTCTACCCGGGGGTATATATCTGAAGGGTTATTGCGGGGAATAACTTAGAGAGAAGTCAGAGTAAGCAAGTAAATGTAGAGAGAGAGTGTATTCAGTATGAATGCCGTTTTCAGCGTGGTTACAAATGGGGAAATGGGGTGCTATTTATAGTAGCAATAAATGTCGGGCAGGGACACGTGTCAAGCGCTCATTGGCCGAGGGGTCACCTCAACTGGTTGGCGCTGGCAGCCGCATGTGGCCGCATTTAATGCGGCTGTTGGATGGGACGTCTGTGCAGGGTACGGTGATCTGTACGCATGTGAGGCGGATATCTTGTCGAGTGAGATGCCTTCGGCCATAGAGCAGTAGCCGAAGGCTCCTCCAACCGAGGGCACCTTGGTGCCGAGGGCTCACAGTACCGAGGGCTACTGTTTTCGCCGTTTTCTCCCAGTTTCTTAGTTTGCTTGAGAAACCCGTTCTGTGAGAGTTTAGAGCCTTCGGCCAGGGGGGCGAAGGCACCCCTGGCGCGTAGTGTGGGCTGCTTGGTACTCTGGGCGCTGTGATCTGGGCCTGTTGGGCCTTCTGGGCATGTTGGGCCTTTGCTGGAGTAGTAGGAGTCTGTGGGCCGGGGGTTCCCGGGCCATATACTCCATCAGGAGTCCCTCACTCCTTTTGCCGAAAGGTACTTGAGGGAAAAGGAGTAATTTGTGCTTGCCCTTTGATGTTGTCCCGTCGTGATCTCTGAAGTTGGTGAGGAGTTGTTGCTTTTATGTCCCTGCCGAAGGCAGTCCCTCAGTTACCCACATGTCGGGACTTGAGGGCTTGCCTTGTCGTTTGTTGGAATTTCACTAACTTTGTAATTTAATGATTTTCCCGAGGGGGTCCTCCAGTCCCCCACTCCTTGAGGCACTTGTAAAGTGGTGAAAAGGAGTAGAGTAGTTGCGTTGCTGTTGTGGGCCGAAGGCTGACGTTTTTCGTTTCATTTTGGGGGGATGCCTCATTAAAAACCTCATTAGGAAAAACCCTGTGGGAAAAAATCCTAATGAGGGAAAAAGAGTGCACCGAATTCCCCCAATGATGAATCGAAAATGTCAAACCTTGGTAAAAAATGGAGAATAACGGAAATGCCGAAGGCTCTCTCTTCGGAGGGCTCTTGTGTTGATTAGCCGAAGGCTTGCTGTTGATGTCCTGGTGGCGCCGAAGGGGAGCCCCTCAATCCGGGGATCGAGGGCCTGATGGATGAGGGCAGTAGTGGAGTTGTTACCGGGGGTCCACTGTTGTTTGATTAGTTGGTGACGAAGATACCCGAGGGCTCCCATTACCCGTGTGCGATAGGCCATCCGTCAATGAGGCAACTCCCCGAGGGCTATCCGGTTTTTACAGTGCTGAGGGGGAATCCCCGAGGGGTGCCCTGATATGAAGCCCTGGGTTCTGGAGGAGTGATCCCGAAGGCATCTGATATGTGCTGTGTGGGGCACAACCTGGGGGCGCTTCTGGGTAAGTGTACCCGGAGGCTATCCTTGATGAAGTGGAGTGAAGTAGAAAACCCGGGGGCTTCCAGAATATAGCCGTTGGAAATATAGCCGTTGGAATATGTAACGTCAGGTTTATAGCCGTTGGGGGGGTACACGTGGCGTGTGATGGCTGGCTGTCCGTGGGCGGCGTCACTGGTTGGGCGAAGACGCGGTGTGTAATGATGGCGTCCATTCGGAGGCCCAGTTTTCGGGCCCAAGCCCGGACTCTGGGGTCTATAAATACCCCGGAGCCAGAGCCATTTCTTCCTTACGCGTCCAAAAATCCTTAGCGAAGCTCTGCCAAAAATTCTAGAGAGAGAAACTCAAGCCCTCGGTCATAGCACTTTCAGAGGTTAGTTCTCCCTTCGCTCCTCAACACTTTTTGTAAGTTCCGCCCTCTGGCCTTAGTTTAGGGTTAGGGTTCCGTAGAAATCCTTCGAAACCTTAGGCACATTTTGTGGCAAAGAATGTCGTCCGAGAGCGATTCCCAAAATATCTCGAGGGAGCCCTCGGTTGAGGATGAGGTTGCTTCCGATGTTGAGTCAAGCAGCAGTGCGCCCTCGGTTGCCGATGACGAAGCCGTGGCCTTGGAGTTGCAGAAGGCCCTTGCTGCTGAAGTGGAAGCCGAGGGCTTCGAACACGAGTGCGAAGATGAAGAACTAGCCCTCGCGTATTAGGTGGCGGAGGACGAAGCCCAAAAGGAGGCGATGACGGTCACTGTTGTTGTGCCACCCCCTCGGACTGACTGTGGTGAGCCTAGTACCTCCAGGCCGTTGGACCCGACGCCTCTGAGAATAGCCCCCGGCAAAAAGAAGATGAAGTCGCAGAGGGCTGCCCCCAAGAAGAAGGGTGTTGCCGCCGGTGCTGGGGGGGCCTGTTGAAATGCCAGAGGGGTATACCTGGCTAAACACCGAAGCCCTCGATATCAAGTCGAAGGCAGACAGGGCTGACTTGTACGTCACGCAACTGCACGTTGGGCCCTCGGCCGTAGTGGTGGAGCCAGGCGTCGACGATCTGCTGTCCAGGCCACCCGAGGGATGCATTGCCGTCCACATTCTGTCGGTGTCAATGGGCCTCCGGTTCCCCCTGCACCCATTTCTCTGGGAGTACCTCAGGTTTGTTGGACTCATCCCCTGCCAACTTACCCCCAACAGCCATTCATACGTTGCTGGCTTCCTGCACCTGTGCCGGACGAGGGATGTTACCCCAAGCTTGGACCTCTTCTTCCAAAGCTTCAACTTGTGCCGAGGGGGGCACGCAAATGCCGAGGGCTTCGCCAATTTACAGCAGGTAGCAAAGTTCAAGCTGTTTACCGAGGCGCCCTCGTCCAATAAGGGCTGGAAAGACAGATGGTGCTACGTCCGGCTGGCCGAGAATCCCTTCCCGAGGGAGCTACGGGACCGCTTCGGCGCCACGAGAGGGTGGGGAGTGCTGCCCTAGAGAAGGATGGCCTGAAACTCGCCAAGATTCCGGAGGGCAAGACGAAGGTCGTGACGATCAAAGAATGCACTTTTGAGGAAGACTTGCATGCCCTCGGGTTCCAACGGTACCGGTTCATCGGGGAAATAGATGAGAAGTACCCCGTCTTCACTGAGGCCTTCGGGGGAGCAGAAGGTAGGCTACGAGGGCCCTTAGTCTCCTACTTAGGCACTTTCATTTTGCATCCTGATAGTTGTTTGTGGTATGAACCCTTCGGGTTAATATTCTCTTTGCTTTGTTTTGCAGGTATGGAGGCTCTCTTCGCAATGAAAAAGAAGAAGGAGAGGGCGCAGGCCCAGAAGAAGGAGAAGACGGAGCCCTCGGGTCAAAAGCCCATTGATGAGGTTTTCCCGAAGGAGACCGCAGAGCCTTCAGTTGCTGCTGCTCCTGCTACTGCGGCCGGGGGCCCGAAGGCTGATGTGGCAGCCAAGAAGAAAAAGGGGGCAAGGGGGTGGAGCCCCCGATCAAGAAGCAGAAGGTTGCCGGGGGCACCGTTGAGAAGGCGGCCCCCCTCATAGTACTCGATGATCAGCCCTCCGCTGACCCCCCGACAATTGATACTCCGATGGCTCAAACAGACCTTCCCCCGGGGAACCTGCCTCGGGAGATTATTCGGTTCTCCCTCGCTCCGGGGGCATCTGTATTGCACGGTTCAGCCGAGCCGATGTCTTTCCTGAGGGGGATTACCTCGATGATGGACAAAGAAGCCCTCTCCACCTATAACGATGACGCCCTCGAAGCCAGGGCCCTTCGATCAGCTCTGACTGTAAGTGTTTTTACTTTGACTTGATCTCAACACTTAGCATAATCCCAATGTCCGTCTGAACCCTCTGTCTGTTATTCAACAGGCTTGTATAACCTTCGGTGAGCAGGCCCGAAGGCGAGAGGAGTGGTGCCGTCATAAGGCCGAGCTAGAGAAGTCCGTGAAGGAGCTGATTCACGACAAGGACGCTGCCCTTCGGGAGGTGTGCAAGTTGGAGGACGCCCTTCGGCAAGCGGAGCTGCGGCTGAAGGAGGCCAGAGATGACGGGATAGCCGAGGGCAGGGCTGAGGCCGAGAGGGTTGCGGCCGAGGAGAGAAAACAAGATGCCGAGGACGCCGAGAAGGCCAAGGCTGAAGCTGCTGCCAAAGCCCGAGAAGAGGCCGTTGCTGGGTTCACCTCCGAGGGCTGGAAGGCCGAGGGCCAGAGCGAGTGGGTGGCCTCTGTGGTGAAGGCCTCGATCGAGGAGTGGGTGAGGGGCCCGGGCTCGACGGGATGAATGAGAGGGGTGACACCTACTATCAAGCTGGCGAGTTCTTCACCCAGCACCTGGTTTACCAGAGGCTCGCCCGGCATTTTGGCACCTCCCTGGATGAGTTCAACCCCTCGGTGTACGGCCTCCCCCCGTTGCAGCCAGATGTGCAGGTCCCCCTCCCCGAGGGAGAAGAGCGCCCGGTGATTCATGATTCCATGATGATGGGCATCGATGATGATGCCGAGGACGCCACCGGGACGGAGGTTACCTCGAAGCCATCGGGGGAGGGTGCCCACGGGAATGATGTTGTTGATGTGTAATATGCGCTTAGAAATCTCTGAACACATTTTGTAATGAATAACTTTGATCCTTCGGCTTCGGCCTGTTTGTAATTTCACACTCACTCTTGTTTTTGATGAATGCATGCTGCCTCCGGGCTCTTCATATTTGAATGCGCCTTATGTTTTGAATGTATGCCTTCTCCTTTGAATGTATGTTTTAGGACTTAGAATGTTTTCTGATTGTGGCTTGCCCCCGGAAGCCTTCGATAGCTGGGCACCCTCTGATGGATATGCAACCGAGGGTTCAGCAGCAATTAGGACTTAGAAATTTTTTCTAAGTGTAGCACAGCATGAGGCCTTCGGACGTTTGTAGTAACCCAAATCCTAGGACTTAGAAAAATTTCTAAGTGTAGATTTCCCCTTGAGAGCCTTCGGGATATGGCATCCCTTCCTGATGTGTGAATGTTGGACCGAGGGCCCAATGCACAGGACTTAGAGATTTTTTGCAAGTGTAGTATGTCATGTAGCCTTCGGCTACTGTGGAGCCCCAACTGAAATATTGATTAGGCCGGGGGCCAATTCTTTAGGACTTAGAAAATTCTCTTCAGTGTTGATTCCTTGTGTATTGTAGCCTTCGATTGATAGGTAGCCTTCGGCTATTGGGTCCCTTTATAAGTTGATGGTGAAATATGTGGGACTTAGAAAGATTTCTAAGTGCAGTTTTTCTTGGGAGCCTTCGGGAGATGGCACCCTCCATGATGTATGAGTAGTTGACCGGGGGGGGGAATATGTGGGACTTAGAAAATATTCTAAGTGTAGATTTTCCCTTGGGGAGCCTTCGGGAGATGGCATCCCTCCTTGATGTATGAGTAGTTGACCGGGGGAAAAACATGTAGGACTTAGAAAATATTCTAAGTGTAGAGGTTCCCTTGGGAGCCTTCGGGAGATGGAATCCCTCTATGATGTATGAGTAGTTGACCGGGGGAAAACCATGTAGGACTTAGAGAATATTCTAAGTGTAGATTTTCCTTTGGGAGCCTTCGGGAGATGGCATCCCTTCTTGATGTATAGCCTTCAACTGTCATATTCCTTTGGCTGTAATACTGACTGAGCCGGGGGCCCATCTTTAGGACTTAGAATTTTTTTGCAAGTGTTGTTGTATCGCATAGCCTTCGGCTATTGTATTCCCTTGGCTGTAATATTGATTGAGCCGGGGGGCCATCTTTAGGACTTAGAATTTTTTTGCAAGTGTAAAGTGATGTCAAGCTTCCGGATGTAGAGCCTTCGGGTGATAGGTGGCTTCTGACTCTACATTATTTTGCGAGATGCCCGGGGGCTGCTCATTCAGGACTTAGAATTTTTTCTAAGCATAAATTGATGTTGAATCCTGTTGCTGTGAAGAAAGCCAATGAGGAGTGTGTGCCCTCGGCATACACTTTAAAAGTTGTAGAAGTTGACCCTTGTCATGGGGAAAGGGCCCTCGGTACTAGTGCGTAACAGAGGCCTTCGGTATATGTTTGAAGGTACCGTCTTAGTGTACTTTGGATAGTCCAGTTCCTTTGTATTGTTGAAGCCTTCGGTGTTTGTGTGACCGGAGGTGACCAGGCAGTGGACTTAGCCGTTTCTTGATGCTATCTGTTCGAGTAGTATCCTTCGGGAAATAGGAGCCTTCAATTACCGGAGGTGTTCCCGTGGGGAGCCCTCGGCTTGTTGTGATCTGTTGGAGTGTACTCTTTGATTTCTCGCTGAGTCTACTCCCCTTCACCCCCTCTTTTTTTTTTTTTGGTTGGTGGTGAAGGGAAGGCATCAAGAAACTTGGTTTCTTGGTAAGGCTGGGCCTATTAGGAGACCATCAGAATACACCAATGGCTCTCCTCCCTCGGGTTAACCTTCCGAGTTCCGAGGGGATCGAAAGTCGTTTCCTAGGCACAAGATATGGTGGTCCGTAACCTGCCTCCCCTTGGGGGATGGCGCGGAAAGCGCCTCATTTTTGAAAGTCGTCCCCTCGGCGCCAGACATAGTCTGTGGCCTGCCACACCCTTGGGGTGGTGGCGCGGGGAGCGTTTCGGTTTGGAAGTCGAATCCTGGGCATTTCTCGTGCCTGTCACACCCTTGGGGTGATGACGCGGATAGCGTTCCGTTTTTGAAAGTCGAATCCTGGGCATTTCTCATGCCTGTCATACCCTGGGGGTAATGACGCGGAAAGCGTTTCAAGGAAGGGTTTTCATTTGCACACTAGTTGCAAATGGCCGGGGGCACTACGTGCCGCCGGCACCGATGGTGGCGCCTTCGGTATATGCGTCCTCGTGGGGTACGGCTTTTAGAAACAACACTTGGTGTTAGTTTCGATGTGTAGCCCCCGGTACTCGGTACCGAGGGGTCTTCTGTAGGAACACTTGGTGTTCTCTTTTGTCGTAGTTGATGTAGGCGTCTACCCTCGGTACTTGGTACCGAAGGGTCTTCAAATGAAACACTTGGTGTTTCCCAACAGATGTTTGGAAGTTGATAGGAGAGCATATCCCTGGCACTGGGTGCCGAGGGGTCTTTTTTGAAACATTTGGTGTTTTTTTTCTTCGTTTCGATGTTTGATGATGGAGGTGTACCCTCGGCACTGGGTGCCGAAGGGTCTTCTGTAGGAACACTTGGTGTTCTCATCTTTTCTTTTTTTTTTGATGTTGAAGGTGGGAATGTACCCTCGGCACTGGGTGCCGAAGGGTCTTCTGTAGGAACACTTGGTGTTCTCATCTTTTCTTTTTTGATGATGAAGGTGGGAATGTACCCTCGGCACTGGGTGCCGAAGGGAAATGAAACACATGGCGTTCCTTGTTGTTGGTGATAGGAGTTCCCTCCCTCGGTACTTGGTACCGAGGGGTCTTGACTGAAAACACGTGGTGTTTTCACTGTTTGTTGTAGGTGTTGATGGTGTCCGCCCTCGGCACTTGGTGCCGGAGGGGGTTCTTCTCGTGGTGAGGCCTGGGGCCTGTAGTCAGTATGAGGGCTTGATGTCTTGAATGTATCTTCATTCTTCGAAATTGGAGGCCTTGGGCCATAGGATAGTACATTCACTAGTTATGAGGGCTTGGCCGCTCTTACATTATTGATAAAATTTGACTAAATGGTGTACATTCCAGTGCCTAGGGACTTCTTTCCCATTGGGGCGTTTGAGCTTGTAGGTCCCGGGTTTGATGATGGCTGCTATGATGTAGGGGCCTTCGAATTTTGGTGCCATTTTTCCTCCCTCGGTTGGTTGGCTGGCTTCCCTCCTCCGGAGGACATAGTCCCACACTTGAAATTCTCGGGTGCGAACTTTGGCGTCGATGTAGCTTTTAACTTGCCTTCGGTAGTTTTCTGCCCGGATGAAGGCCTGCTCCCGGCGTTCTGAAATGAGGTGGAGGTCGAGGGCCATGTTGCTGTCGTTGACCTCGGGGTCATATTGGATTACCCTTCGGGTGGGAAGGGTGACTTCCGTAGGAGCTTTGGCTTCAAAACCGTAGCAGAGGGAGAAGGGTGTTTCACCTGTTGCTCGCCGAGGGGTGGTGCGATAGGCCCAAAGGATGTTGTGGAGTTCTTCCACCCAGCCACCGCCCTCGGCCTCTAGCTTCTTTTTGAGGCCCTCGAGCAAGGTCCGGTTGGCATTCTCTACTTGCCCGTTGCCTTGAGGGTAGGCAACGGAGGAGAAGGTGTGTTTGATGCCCCATGCCTCCAGAAGGGCACAGAAGGGGGCTGCCTCAAATTGTGTCCCATTGTCGGAGATGATCTGCTGGGGGACGCCAAACCTTGTGATGATGTTCTTGAGGACGAAGTGACGGCATTTCGCCTCTGTGATGCTGGTGAGGGGTTCAGCCTCCACCCACTTGGTAAAGTAGTCGACGGCCACGATGATGTATCTGTTGTTGGAGGTACCCCTCGGCAGAGGGCCCACAAGGTCTATCCCCCATCGAGAAAAGGGGACAGAGGTGCTGATGGGGGCATAGTTGACCGCTGGCCTGCCGGGAGCCTTCTGGAAATGTTGACATGCGGTGCACCTCCGGGCAAGGTGAGCACAATCTCTGGCCATGGTTGGCCAGAAGTAGCCCTGGAGAATGAGCCTTCGGGACATGGAGAAGGGTCCCTGGTGAGCTGCGCAAGTGCCACTGTGCACTTCCTCCATTGCGACCTCGGCTTCATCTGGATGAAGGCACCGAAGTAGCGTGCCATTGTAAGATCGTTTGTAGAGCCTTCCATCTTCGATGGTGTAGCTAGAAGCCCTCAACTTTGCCAGTTCAGCGCGGGCCTCGTTCTCGGGTAGCTGCCCTGTGGAGATGAAGGCGGTGATATCTGTGATCCAATCCTCTTGGCGCTGTTGTATGTTCATCACGGGGCTTGCATGGATACTTGAGAGGCTGAGTTCCTCAATCTTGGCAATTCTGGAGATGTGCTCGGGGGAGTCGGCCGAGAGCTTAGATAGTATGCCGGCCTCGGAGTTCTGAGCCCTCGGTATTTGAGTGAGAGAGTGTGCCTCAAATACCTTGAGCAACTCCTTGGCTGCTTCCTTGTATTGTTTCATTCTTCCCTCTTTGGCCTCATATTCTTCGGAGATTTGGCCAACGACC